ACCCATAGGGACACAGTGACACATAGTGACCCATAGGGACATGGGGTGACACATCGGGACGCAGTGACACATAGGGACCCATAGGGACATAGGTGACACATAGGGACACAGTGACCCATAGGGACATGAGGTGACCCATAGGTGACCCATAGGGATGCAAGGTGACCCATAGGGACATGGGGTGACCCATAGATGACCCATAGGGACATGGGGTGACACATAGGTGACCCTTAGGGACACAGAATGACCCATAGGGACATGGGGTGACACATAGGGACACAGTGACACACAGGGACCCCTAGGGACATAGGGGGACACATAGGGACATGAGTTGACCCATAGATGACCCATAGGGACACGAGGTGACCCATAGGGACACAGTGACACATAGTGACCCATAGGGACATAGGGTGACACACAGGGACATGAGGTGACCCATAGGTGACCCATAGGGATGCAAGGTGACCCAAAGGGACATGGGGTGACCCATAGGGACACAGTGCCCCACAGGTGCCCCATAAGTGACACGATTAACGTGGGTCCCCACCTTCTCCCCGCGGCGGCGGAACGGCCCCTTGGCGTCCAGCATCTCGTACAGCGTCACCCCCAGCGTGAAGTAATCCACCGCCATGTCGTACTCCTCGTCCCGCAGCACCTCGGGGGCCATGAAGCCTGGGGTACGGCCCCACAGCGCCCCATAGAGCTCCCCATAGCGCCCCACAGATCGCCCCATAGCTCGCCCCATAGATCGCTCCACAGCACCCCATAGATCGCCCCATAGCGCCCCATAGGTCACACCATAGCTCGCCCCATAGATCACCCCATAGCACCCCACAGATCGCCCCATAGCTCACCCCATAGATTGCCCCATAGTGCCCCATGTATTGCCCCATAGCTCACCCCATAGATTACCCCATAGTGCCCCATGTATTGCCCCATAGCTCACCCCATAGATTGCCCCATAGCGCCCCATGTATTGCCCCATAGCTCACCCCATAGATTACCCCATAGTGCCCCATGCATTGCCCCATAGCTCACCCCATAGATCACCCCATAGCACCCCACAGATCACCCCATAGCTCACCCATAGATTTTCCCATAGCTCACCCCATGGATTGCC